AATACTGTCAAAAATCGGCGCCTGCGGCGGGCCATGGGACCCCATCTCCCCCCAAAGCCGAGAAGCCGTCAAGAATTCCGTCAGGGCGATCATCCGGCCCGCTGGGTGCGCTTCTTTTAGGTATGTTGTTGGCAAATCAAGACACAGAGCTCAGGCAAATTCACAGTGGGAGGAAAGCGGCGAGTCGCAATTCCAGGGGTCGTTGTGGCGGGCCACCCTGTCCAGAGCCCGGGATGGTCCGGGATGGGATCTTTCGATCAAGTCTGTGTGCCCTGGCCGCCTCCCAGTTGGTTGTGCAAGGTTGGAAAACCAAGCAACGGAGATGGAGCGGGAGAGTACGGTTGTTCCAGGGGGTCACGACTCGCACCGACCCTTCACGAACCGAAAGGCCGTGCCCGGCGTGCGCAAGGCTTCTTAGCTCCCCGGCCCTGGATGTGAGGTTACCGACTGCACTCCAAGTGCTCCAAGTGCGTTCTTCATACCCACCTTCCTGTTGGCTAGTGCACGATGAGAAACCAGGGTGGGTGGAGGTTGCGTTAGTTTGTCACTCGCCATGCGCGTCCTTGGCTGACCCTCCAAAACTCCTCCCCGCCGTTCGCGGCTCGGCTTGCGTATGCGGCTGGGAGCTTCGAGGACATGCAGGCGTCCCGCCCCCTCCGGCCATCCCCCCGGCTCCCATGCGCGCGGCCGCGACGCGCTGCGCACCCTCTTCCGCGCTGCACCCGCTCTCGGCATGGCCGTCGTCCGCCGAGATCACCTCCTCTTCGCGCCGCAGGTGCACAACCAAGGGCTGGCCACCTCCGTATCCATCATGATGAAGCCAATGGGCCAAAATCGGACTCCGCTCCCCTCCCAGGTGGCCGGAGGGTACACCTCGGGTCGGCGTGCTGGGGGGGGCGCCGGTGCGCAAGCCCACTTTCCGGGCGAGCCCGAGGGGGAGGAGGCCGGGCGAGTGGCAGCAACTCACTGTTAGTGTCCCGGGCCGCTGCGGCACCGTTTATACGGCCCCTCGTGATGTCTTTCCGAATTTGCATTGTGAGTCGTCCTCTGGCCAGCCGAGGGGCGCCAGAACGGCATGTGTACTGGTGCTGGGTGCGGGTGCGGAACGGGCTTTTTTTAACTCGCAACCAAGCATACTATACAAGGACACCCTCGGGGGGGACACGCGGCGCATGTGCGTCACGTCAGGGTGGAGTTGGCGGTGGCCGAGCGTCGTCTCCAGATCGACTCGCAGCGCGGAGTCGAGGGGTGAAGCGCGTCGCGCTGCGACATTCGAGAGCCGGCGGGATAGCCGTGGGGCGCGGCCGACTTTGAAGTCCTCGAAGATCCGGTGCGCATTCGTCCTCTGAGACCCACGCGTACAGGAAAGGGGCGAGAACGCGGCCATTCTCCATTGACAATCTAAGGCAACCTTGAGCTAGCCCGTTCCACACAGTGTGTCTTGTCTTGTGGTTCTGTGTGTCGCTCCTGTGTGACCGTCATCGCCCGTCCTGCGTCCACCCATACCGCGTTGGTGTCCCAGTCGTTGGTCGGACTGAGATCTGAGAGACAGAGAGATTTTTGTTTGTAGTTTGAGATATGAGTTTCGCCTTAAAAAACACGCGCGCGCGTGAACAGGGCTCCAGGCCCCAATCTCTCTCACAAACCTTCCTCTAGTTCTAGTACCTACCAAGGCCCGTGACCGCACCAGTTTCCAATCCACCTGACCGCCACTCTCTTGAGGACGAGAATAAAACGCGCGCTCTCAGCGGCGGTTTTGTCGAGTTTTGGTCTCGGCTCTCGCCACTCGTGTGACGTGTCGCCCGCTGCGCTGAGCGCTCGCTCGCCCGGCACCAACTTGATTCCCGGATGCGCGTCTCCCCCTCCCCCTATGTGACGCCACCCCCCTCCAATCCGTAATTCCGTAAAATCGCGCGAAAAGCGCCCTAATCGAGCTGGAGAGCGGCCCCCAGCCGCCTGGGAGCGTGCCCTAGCTAGCGGGAGGCGTTAGACGTACTTTTCGGCGTCAACTAATTAATGACTTTCGGCGACGTCCGTTCCCCCCCCCTCACCTTGGACACGTCGACACCTGGCACCGACGCAGCTCAGCATTGTGCTGGAGCGCCTGCTCAACGAACTCGGGATAGCCGACCTCAGTACGTTCGAGGCTGTGCTCTTGCACGATACAGGCGCATTGCTCGACGCGATCCGAAGCACCGCTGCAGCCGCAGAGGCTGGTGCGGCGGCTTATGCCAGCTCGGCCACGAGCAATGTTGTTGTGTCCCCAGGCAGAACTGCTACCGCTGGCGTAATCTCTGTGTAGCACAAGGGTAGCTTCTCCCGCACTCTCGTCAGCACAGACGCGCAAAACACGCTAATGTCTCGGACATCCATGCAGCCGCGAGTAGTGCGAGTGCTGAGATGCTGCTCCGGCAGGAGTTGGAAGAGAAGTTGCGGTCACAGACCAAGGAGCTCGCTTCTGAGCAGCGCTCTGCGAGCGCTGTGAAGAGGGCACTCGCGTCGGCGCGGGATGAGCTTGCTGCGGCACAAGCTGAGGCGCTCCGACCGCGACAACCTGAGGAGAGCGCAGCAGGCTGCTAAACGCGACATCAAAGCGGCCGAGCGGATGGCCGACGAGGCAAAACACGCAGCTCGAGCTGAGTGTGAGTGGCGTATCGGCGAGATGCGGGCCAAGATGCAGGCCGACGGCGCGAGCAGCTCGACGCGCTGCAGATTTCGATGGAGGCAGAGGCGAGGCGCGCTGATGCCGCAGGGGCGGAGAGGTCAAGGCTGTACGACAAGATGGAGGGGATTATGCGCACGCGCGTGAGGGGTTGATAGACGCACTCGCAGAGGCGCAGCGCAAGCGCGAATATAGTGATTGTTAAGAGATATACGTAGCGTTACAGTCGTACGGTCGTCGACCCTCCCACCGTGTGGGCCGCCCGGACCCCGGAGAGCTCCTGTAGCGCGTTCAGACAGCGTTGCGCGAGCATTGGAGAGGCCAGCCTCCGGCTTCTCAGCGTGTCGCGAGTGCTGGATCTCTGTCTGCCTGGTAGCTGGGTGTGATGGGGGGCTCTCTGGTGGCTTTGCTTACAAATGTACAGATTTACGGATTTACGGATCCACCCCCCTCCCTCCCCGTCCCGTGACCCGGCCGTGAGACGCGCATCCGGGAATCAAGTTGGTGCCGGCGCGTGTCTCGCAGCTCGGCGGGGTGTCGGGGAGCGGAGTGCGTCGGAGAAATTTTCTTCATTCTCGTAGTTTCATCGCTCATCTCGTCATCGGGGAGTGTGTTTGTCTCGTCGGTCGCGCCGCGGCGTTTACGAGCACCACCACTCGGTCGCCACGGCGCGGGCTCTCAGCTCTCACTAGGAGAGACCGTGCGCCGCAGCGCTGCGCGCATCTCCTCCAGGCGGGACAGCTCCGCCCGCGCCTCCTCCTCGTCCACGGCTCGCGAGAGGAGGGCCTGATCGGCAGGCGGCGAGGGGTGAGCGTGGCGCGAACCCACCGCACGGGCGCGCGGCAGAGCGCGCCTCGAGGTCCATGTGCTCCAGCGACCGCTCGTGCGTCGCCCGAATGTGGATGCGCGGCACAAACCCCGTCACAGGCTCGCCGTCCTCGCCACGAACCGCGCTCTCTCGCTCCAGCTCGATGAGCTGCGCATACCGCGACGCGCACAGACACCAGCGGTCGCCCGGCCGAACGCCGGGGAACATGAACTGAGGGATGGGTTGGTGGAGCGGGTTCCCGACCGCCGCCGAGACAGCGAGGAACTTCTCGGTCGCCTCGATGCAGACGGTGTGCCGGCCCGCGTCGTCCGGACCGGTGGAGCAGTAGCCGTCCCGGTAGAAGCCGGTGCCGATGCCGCTGCCGTGGACGTCAGCGCAGCAGCAACTGAGCTCAGTCCCGAGCACGTTTCTTGCAGGCTCGCGCGCAGGCTCTTCCGCAGAGTCGAGCCGTGCGGCGGCGGCGCGAGAGTCGGCGGCGGCGCGCAGAGCAGGGGCGGGCGTGCGGAAGGAGACGGCCGAGGTGTAGACGAGCAGCATCGGGCGAGCAAAGAAAAGAATTCTAAAGAGCCCTCTCACAGCAGACTGGCACGAACTAGCACCACAAAAGGCACAGCAGACAACGGCCCCTTATGGGCCGTCGAAGAGGCCGTCATACTCCTCCGGCCTCGCCCCCCCTTCCCAACCCTCCCCTGGCTCAGGCTCCTCATCCTCGCGGCGCGCAGTGCGCACCCCGCCCCGCGAAGACGAACCCTTCCGCCGGCGTGCCTCGCGGGACTGCCGCCCGCTGCCACCGCCCTTCCCCCCCTCCGCCGCCCGCGCCTTCTCCGCCGCCCGCGCGGCCGCCTTCGCCTCCTCCGCCGCTAACAGCGCCTCCCTCCGCGTGACCCCAATGGGCCCCTTGCGCATCCAGGAGAGGTCGCGCGAGCGACCTATCCAGGGGTTACCCGGATACGGCGCAACGTAGCCGCTGCGCAGCTCCGAGTAGTCGCCAACGCCCCCCCCCAAATAGCCCTCCAAGCAAGCATCGCAGACCCACTCGCCTAGCTGAGAGATCTCAGAACTCTCGCCGCGCCAGATCTCCTTCTCCGCCGCCTCCATCTCCTCTCTCGACCAGCCCTCACGCATCGCCCGGCGCCACAGCCACGGCTCCACGCCAAACTCGTCGTAAAAGCGCCCAAAGCAATCCTGACACTCGAGGCCTGGGCCTCGAGCGTCCTCCGCGGAGACGGGGTTGTCCGTGCTCGCGCCCGCCCACTCCTCGAGCGTCGCCGCCACGAGCGCCCCGTAAACGGCGTCGACCGCCGCCTCCGCCAACGCCTCAGCAGCCGCCTCGCCCGCCTTAGAACCCGTGGCCTCATCTAAAATGATGAAAGGGTGGGGCGCGCCGGCAGCGTCCGAGACCGGCGTCTCGGGCGGGGTAATGCCGGCGGGCCCCCAATATGGGGCACGTCCAGGTCCATCAGCAGCGAGCGAGGGCGGGCCGCCCTCCTCCCCCTCCGCCGGCGCCGCGCCGCCGGTGGAAACCTCCTCCACTGGGTTTGGCCGCTCAGCAGCCAAACCCGCCGCGGTGTCGGGCACCTTCTCGAGCCCCCCCCCGCGACCCCTGGCGCCACGGCCGCGCCGCCCTCGGCGGCGCCGCGGCGCCTTCCGCCCGCCCTCGACCTCCTCCTCCCCCCCCGCGGCGGCAATCGTCCCATCGCCGCTCTCCGGCAGCGCGGGCTCCAAGGGGTCCAAACTGGATCCCTCGGTCCCACCTCCGGACCCACCTTCAGCGGCCTGCGCGTCGCAGGCACCGCCGTCCGCCTCTTCGGGGCGCGCGCCGCCGCGGCCCTCGCCGCCAGCCGCTGCCCCGCCACCAGCCGCCTGATCGCCAGCCGCCACCCCAGCCGGGGTGTGTCGCCCAGCGACAAGCCGCTGAGGGATGCCAAGACCGCAGCCGCGTCCCCCCAGCCCCGCCGGCCGAGAAGAGCTCGGCGGAGCTTCTCCGCCTGGAGCTCGTGGATTCCGAGCGAGGCAATGCCCTTCACAGCGACCACCTCGAGGAGGTCGCCAGCATCACCCACACCCAGGTCCTCGAGCTGCCCTTCGTACTTGCGGTAAAACTTGTCGGCGACGCGCGCGCGCTTGAACAGAGCCGCGAGCGGCTCTCCCAGGTCGATGGCGGGCGAGGCCGCCATCGAAGGCCTGGTGCCCGGCCGCGTGGCCCCCGGGCTGCGGGTGGGTGCTCGCTGTGGCGGCCGCCGAGAGGGCAGAGAGCGGCGGCAGGCCGCCGACGGCGTGCGCGCCGCCTGCTGTGGCAGCAGGCGACAATACTGCTGTCGGCCAAAAGAAGAAAACCGGCGCTGAAGCCGCGCGAATTGGGGCGACTTGCGTCCACTTCACGCCACGGGCTGCGGTCTTGTCATGGACGTAATTCGTCTACTCGCCGCAGCCTGCGCAGGCGCCGTAGCCGACCACGCTACAAACACCATCTGCGGCACGCAGCCCGCTGTCTGCAACGGCACGTTCGCAGGGCGAGCGCTCGACCTTTCAAAGCTCGACCTGACAGGCACTCTACCGCCTGAGCTGGGAAGCCTCAACCTGGCGTTCAACAACATCTCTGGCACCATTCCCGCAGTAGCGAGTACTAAGCTGGCAAACCTGAGCTTGTGGTCAAACCGGATCTCGGGCACAGTGCCGGGGAGCTGCCACCCCCCTAGATAGATCTACCCAAACCCAGGCACGACATCTGCGCACACCGTTAGCAGCAATGGAGGTAGGAGCCGCTGCGCCCGTGCCGATGCAGATGCAGACGACCATCGTGGGTAAATTTGAGGCCGATGGAATCACCCTCACCATCTCGTTGATGGGTAACGACGACTGCTGCATCTCGGTGACTGCACGACCCTGGCGGCCCCGGTGGCAACGGCGGGGAAGGCGGGTGTCCAATGCCCTGGTTCAAGGTTGCCAACGGCCGGTACATCCAATGCAATGTATGTATGCCTTATCTTATCTTCTTGGGGGGTCCCACGCTCGCCTTCGAAGCCCCGGACACAGTCTACCAGGGCTGCTGCTTTTCAAAGTGCGACCACTGTTGCTTCTGCTGCCCGTGCAAGTTCGTCCGTGTGCCGGATGTGCCGGAGTCCCTGCCTGTGGCGACCGAGGAGCCCCTGCCTGTGGCGACCGCGGAGCCGCCTACGGCGACCGCGGAGTTGCCTGTGGCGACCGCGGAGTTGCCTGTGGCGACCGGCGACCGCGAAGCCCCTGCCAGTGGCGTGGTGAGCAAGCTGCTCGAGGCGCGCAGGGCGCAGCAATGAGTCGAGCGGCGCAAAGTGGGAGTGCACTGGCGTGGGCGGTCGGTTGGCGGGTTGTTTGGCGAGTGGAGAGCGTGCAGGAGCCGCTCTGCAGCCTGCATGGTGTGCGAGTGGCCCCTTTGTAGAGAGAGTCTCAAGGGCAGGCCGTACGGCTAAGGGCGTGTGCGCTGTGTGTAACCACCCACGCCACCAAGTACTGGTATTGATTCATGATTGCTTCTGATGGGAATGCGACTGGCTAATAAAAGATCAGCCTCTGTCCATCACAGCCTTTCAACATGCCTCAAATTTTCCGCGGTGCGCGGCGCGAACTTTTTTGCGCTTGCCCTACCCTTGCTAGTGCACATAGTAGTGCTGCCCTCAAACCCTTCCCACCGATACAAATTCACATGATTGCGCAATTCTCGTTCTCGTTGACGGAGGGCTGGGTCTCCGCCGGGGCGGTCCAGCCGCGTGGCGCAGGTAGCGCCTACGCAGAGGCACCCACCGACCTCAGAAGAGCTGCCCCCCCCTCGCCTGGCCCGGCCGGGTGCCAGCTGCGCCGCGTGATGTGTGGTGCCGCCCGTGGGCCTCTCGTCCTGCGGCGTTCGGAACGAGTACGGGTCGTGCACCTGCGGCAACTCTCTGCGGTGAGGAGACGGGCCCCGGCGGCAGCGGGCTCGTGCAAGTCTCGCGGCGAGCACCGACGGCAGCCAAATGGCATGCTTCCGGTCCTACCGTACAGCGAGCGGCGGCGGTGAGGCGACGGCGAGAGTGCTGCTTGCCCTCGCAGCACGCGGTGCTGCGGTGGAGCACGTCGCTCGCGGCGGTGTACGAGGTGCAGCCGAAGTGCAGCCGAAGTGCAGCCGAAGTGCAGCCGAGGTGCGGCCGAGGTGCAGCCGAAGTGCAGCCGAGGTGCGGCCGAAGTGCAGCCGAGGTGCGGCCGAGGTGCGGCCGAGGTGTAGCCGAGGTGCGGCCGAGGTGCAGCCGAGGTGCAGCTGCCGCCCGGTCCCGATGTGTCGGGCGGCGAGAGCGCGCTCCTGGATCCGCTTGCCCACCCCGAGCACCATCGCGCGGCCGAGGAAGCTGGGCGCCTCTCCGGGCGCCTTCTGGCCGCGCTCTGCGGCGGCTGACCCAGCCCCCTCCCCGCCCTCCACCTCCGCCTCTACGTCCGGCGGCACCTCCTCCGCCCCCTCGGCCGGCGGCGGCGCCGCCTCCACCTTTGCTACCCCCTGCCGCGCCGCTGCCTCTGCTGCCTCCGCCTCCGCCGCCTCCGCCTCCGCCTCCGCCGCCTCTGCCGCCGCCTCGGCTTGCTCGCTGCGCCCCACCAGCGCCTGCCGCAACCGGTCCGGGATTCCGAGCGAAATCGCCTCCTCCAGCTCCCGCGCCGCCTTCGCCGCGCTCTCTCGCGCCGCGACCGCCGCCGTGCGCGCCTTTGCGGGGCCGCCCATGCCGCCGCCCCTGCCGCCGCCGCCACCGCCGTCCCCGCCGCCCCTGCCGCCGCCCCTGCCGCCGCCGCCGCCGCCCGCCGCCCCGCCCCCGGCCGCGGCGTCGGAATAGTACCCGACGCCGCGCGCGCCGCGCTTGAAGACCCTTCCGGCGCGCGGCCCGGCAAACGCCTCCGCGGGCTCGAAGGAGGCGGCGGGGTCGTCCGTGTCGGCGGCGGCGGCGGCGGCGACGGCGGCGAGGGGCGAGTCGGCGGGCAGGTCCGGGGCGTCGGGGAGGGCGGCGCCGCTCGAGGCGGCGAGTCGCTTCGCGAGCGTCGCGGCGGCGGCGATCGACTGCTCGTAGACCTAGTACCACATCTCCAGAGTATCGAATCCAGTGTGGGTGGTGCGGTAGCGGCGATCGACTGCTCGTAGACCTGCTGCAGCGTCAGGGCGCCGTCGAGCACCTCGATGGAGTCATCCGCGGTGCGCAGCCCAATGTCGAGCGCCTGGTCCAGTACTGAGTGATGCGCGCACGCAGGGAGAGAGGGAGGGAGGAGCCGCGCAGAGGAGGGCGGGGAGGGGAGGAGGGGGAGGAGGGGGAGGAGGGAGGAATGGACGGAGCCCAAGCTCGAGGAGGAGGAGGAGATCGCACGGAGGGAGGGAGATGGGGCGAGAGCGGCGAGACGCGCCTCCATCGGCATGCGCGGTCCGTTCTTGTGGTGCAGGTACGCCTTGAGGTGTCAACCGCCGTGCTCAGCCGGGATGGCATCCGGGGCCGGCCGAGGTGCGGCCGAGGTGCGGCCGAGGTGCGGCCGAAGTGCAGCCGAGATGCAGCCGAGGTGCGGCCGAGGTGCGGCCGAGGTGGAGGGTGCGCCTTCAGGTCCGCGATGGTGTCTAGGAAGTGTCTAGGAAGTGTCTGGAAAGTGTCTAGGAAGTGTCTAGGAAGCGCCTTCAGGTCCGCGATGGTGTGCTCCGGCGTGACGAGCACGCACTGCTGCTTGTACCAGCCGGCGAGGACGACAAAGGTTGCGCCGGGCAGGATCTGGGCGCCTGCTCACAGCTAGAGGTGTGAAGAGACGCTGTTCAGACCGCCCAGTCGCCGGGCAGGATCTGCGCGCGGGACACGACGGGTGCGATCGACTCGGGCTCGTGAATGACGTGCCGCCTGCACGCGGAAGTTTCGCGGAGGTGTCATGGAGCCGGTCTGTGGGCAGCGGGCTCGCTGCTCGTGGGCGGCGGGCGCATTGTGTGGGCTAGGTCGTCGACGACGGCCTTGCGGAGCTCGGCGAGCTTGGCCTCGTGGTCCTCCCAGTCCCACGCCTGCGGCGTCGCACCCGCGCGTCCCTCAGTAGCCGTCTCGCTCTCTCGCAGTCCGGCTGCGCCGGCGGCTGGCACGCGCCGTCATCGCGTACACCTCCTGGCGGTCGTAGAGGGCCTTGGTCAGGTCGGCGTCGTCGTCGAGCCGCTTCTTCGAGAAGAGCAGCATCGACTCGTCCTTGATGGCCAGGCCCCACTCCTCGTCCGCCGCAGCAGCCAGCCGCGCCGACGGCCGCTTCTTGCGGTAGTGGCCGATGAAGGCGTCGCGCAGCCGCCGGATCGGCACGCCGCCGTCCAGCCACTTGGCGGGCAGGGTCAGGCTGAGGACGAGGCCGTCGGCGCCGTCGTACGTGTCGGGGTCGTAGCCGCCGTATCGCAGCGTCAGCTTGACCTCACGCGTCTTGTAGACGCCCTCGTCGACCTTGACCACGGTCTTGACGATGCCCGGCTTGCAGCCGACGACCGACTCGTCCACGCCGGTGTAGGTGCTGCCCGTGCGATATGCAGGCTGCACGGGAGTGGGGCGAGGGCCGAGCATAGAGCAGGATGTTCAGGGCCACCTCCCGCGGCTGCGGCGAAGAGAAATTTACGACCTTGTCTCGGGCACCGCAACCGTCCACAAAGCACAATGTGCTGCCACAAAGCACCACTAGCGATTTCGCGCGGAGGGCGTAGTGAAGTGCTGGGGCGCTCACTGTGTGTTATTCGGGTGGGGATCCATCAATCAGCGCTGCTTTAGATGGGCCTCCGGGGGCCCATGCTACGTCGAAGCACAGACCCGATCTCGGCACTCACGGGCTGCCACGCGCCCGCGCGCGGCGCGGGCCGCACCGCCCATGCCCCCGGGTCACCAACCCCGCCTCTCGGCCCTCTCGGCCCTCAGGAGCGTGCGGGAGACCGGCGAGGGGCGCGCCGCGCGCCGCCTGCAGAGCCGCCAGAGGCATTGTGTCGCCTCCGCTGGCGGGGTTCCCGGGCGCGTTGACGACTTGGAGAAGGTCGCCCTTGAGCCTTGTACTTGTACTTGTGGTTGTAGAGATGCTCGAGGGGGTGCTTTGTGGGGCGGTGCGCAGCCAGGCCAGCAGTGAGGGGAGGCGCACCCTCACTCTCCTCGGTTGCAGAGCTCGTCGGAGGCTGCGGCATGACGGGTGGGTCGCGATCGCAGTCCTCGGGCGAGCCGACGCGCATGTCCAACCGACCGGCGCTGGGACTCCTTGTGACGGCAGACGCCGGCTGCCTCTCCAACCGCTTCTGCAGCGTCCTTCTTTGCCCGGTGCATGGGCTCGATCCGATTCCGCCTCAACCTCTCACAGACCAGCGCACAAATAACGTATTTTCTTCTCAATAACAGGCTGTGAAGAGTGCGGCCATCTGCCTTTTTCCGCATGCCGCTGCCAGCCTGGTGCAGCTGCATGGCCTATCGCGCGCTGATCTGAACGGGCGCAAGGGCCGTGTGCTCTCGTGGGACGATTCCAAGGGACGGCACGGCGTGCGGCTCGATGCGTCTCCGGCACCGCTCGCGGTGAAGCCCAGCAACCTGCACCGCAGATGCGACGGCTGTGAGCAGCTCATTTGGGACTGGGAGGGACCCGCCGAGCTGGAGCAGTGCGCCGATTGCGGGTACGCGTGCTGCGAGAGCTGCTCTGTTAGCAGATGGAGAGGTGCGTGCCGCTGCGTCGGCTCCAACTTCGGTCGGCGTCCGGATGGCACACCAACGAAGAGTGACGCCCGATGTATGTGCAGTCGCTGCAAGCGGGACGTGCTACAGCCGGGCAGCAAGACGCGTGAGCGCGACCGCGAGCGCCGACGTGCGGGCTTGCTCACGTACGGTGATGACGTCGCCTTCCTGTTCCGCACCACAAGTGGCGCGAGCGTGATCCGGTTCGGAAAGACGCAGCGCATCACGTGCAAGTGCCTGGCCACACGAAAGCTTGAGCACGCTGCGTATGGCGGGATCGATGTGCGAGCGGCCGCGGCCGAGCAGGAGGTGCAGATCCTACTGCTATGGTACGGGCGGACGGCGCCGTGCTCGTACACGTTCGATGGCAGAGTTAGCCACGGGCAGGACATGCAGTACCGAGCGACTGCGATGCTCGGGTTCGTTGAGTTCGATTACGACGATGCCACCAGGCGGCTCACGCTGCCCGAGGCTCAGCTGCGCTCGCTGCGTGCGCGCGCCGTCGCCCTCGCGACTCACGCGGCTAGCGCGCCGGACGGTGTGGCTGTCGAGGGTGCTAACCCTCAAGGACTGGCACTAACACAGGCAAAAGAAACGACGCTGCCTGCATCTCTCCAGCTGCAGCCACCATCTCGCTCCCAACCATCGGACCGTCTCTCGACGTCTCGGTCGTTGTTGTACATGGGTGGGCTCCTCTCGCGCCGCGGAGCGTCCGTACGCCTCGCTTCATGGAACGTCGCCGCAGTCAACAACAACCCATTCGAGTACTACACCACGCTCGCCGACCCTCGGTGATTTCCCGCCACCACCATCACACCGCCTCTGCCACTGCCGCCGCCTCTGCCGCCGCCGCGCCTGCTGCGCCGCCACCCTCACCACGCCGCCCTCTCGTCCGCCGCAGGTACGAGCAGCTCATGGTGGCGGTGGGCGAGCTGATCGACGCGCCAGGCGAGCGCGATGTGCCCGTTCGCTCTGTCTTCACGCAGCCCATGTTCGAGAAGCTCAAGGCCTCGATGGCGGCGCAGGGGTGGGCGGGGATCGATGCCGTCGAGGAGGTTTGGGAGAGCGACCTCGCCAGCCGGCCGATCGTGTCTGGCTTTCTCAAGGACAAGGAGATCGGCGCCAAGCGGCTGGCGTCGATGCCTGACCGCTTCACAAACACCATCAACACGGAGGACGGGCGCACCGTCTGCCGCCCCACCGTCATCAACAACTACGACGTGCCGATGCCCGACGGAGACGCGTGGTTTGCGCAGTGGCACGCCTTCTTCTTCGAGGCGCCGCTGCTCGTCAAGGCGAGAACGCCTCCGAGACGCCTCAAAGACACCCACGATATCTCTCCGCCATCTCCGACACAGTTCCGACTCTGCCAAGACCTCCAGCACACCTCCGAGACGCCCGACCGCTGCTCTTCTAGGCCAAGTCGGGCGCCGCGGCGCCGCGCCTGCCGTGCGCCATGCTCTCGCCGATCAAGCGCTCCAAGTACCGCCGCCCCCTCCACACTCTGGCGCACTCCGAGAGCACTCCAGAGCGCTCTCCAGCACTCGCGAGCACTCTGGCGCACTCCGCGAGGGAGGACTGCGAACGAGACGACGTTCACGGCACGAGCTGTGAGCAGGTACCCCGCCCTCTCCGAGGCGGAAGAGGCCATCTCGCTGCCGCTGCAGCTGCTCTGCCTCGCGATCTTTGACGCGATCCTGGCCGGGCCTCTAGACACTCCCTAGACACTTCCTAGACACTTCCCTGTTCACGCGTCCTGACCGGGCCTCTAGACACTTCCTAGACACTTCCTAGACACTTCCTAGACACTTCCTAGACACTTCGTAGACACTTCCTAGACACTTCCCTGTTCACGCGATCCTGGCCGGGCCGCTGCGTCCGCCCGCTCCACAAAGCAGAACACGTCCACGACGCGCCCGCGAGTCGCGCCCTAGGCCGGCCTGCTCGCAACATGTCGTGGCCGTGCCATGGACGTGTCATGGATGATGTCCTGAGTCGCGCTCTAGGTCGGCCTGCTCAACCAGCTCTCTCCCGGTGCGCGGCACGAGCCTCCCGAGGGCGACTCCCAAAAGGCGAGCCGCAGGAGCGAACCCGACACGCGCCCGCTCGCTGCCTCCCGCAGGCGCGTGGCACGAGCTCAAGATGAGCATCTGCGAGGCGCTCGTCGTCTCCAAGGCGCAGCGCGCGGTTGGACACATCTCGGCGCATCTCGGAGCATCTCGTCCCATCTCGGCCCATCTCGGCGCATCTCGGCCCATCTCGGCTCCATCTTGGCTCATGGCTCATCTGCCACCTCCCAGGCGCAGCGCACGATCGACGTGCTGCAGCGGCCAGAGTGCGCGGGCTAGTCGGCAACGCGCAGTCGGTAGTCAGTACTCATGTGCGCTCCGTGGCCCCCACATCGTTATGTGTGGAAGTGCAAGATGGCTCTCATATACCGGCCGGCACCGCCCCACCCAGCAAGAAGGTGGCACGTTCTTGGACGCGAATCCTGGACGCGTGCGGCAGGTACGCCGACGTCGACCTCCTCTTCCTGCAGGAGGTGAGTGGCGCGCTCGTGACAGCGCTGCGCGCCGCGCCCGCCCTCGCCGAGCGGTTCGAGGCGCGCTTGAGTCGCGCGAGACGCTGCGAAGACGCTTCCCGGGGCGCCCCTCCGATCTGCCTCCGAGGCGCCCCCGAGAGACCGCTCCGAGACCGTCCCGAGACATCTCCGCGCTCTTTCCGTGAGGTGCTCGAGCCACGCGACTGCGATGCGGTGCGCGACCAGAACTCGCTCATCCTCGTCGCGAAGCGCCTGCTCGCCGGCCCGGCGGGCGAGGCGCTGTCAGAGGTCGAGCTGGGCGCCGAGGCGCTGAGTGGCGCGCTTGCGACGGGGCGCAGGGGCCGCGGTAGAGGGATGTGGTCGCCGGGAGCGCGACGCGGGTTGGAGAGTAGGTGCGCCGCAGCGGCGGGGGACGACCGGGGGTGGAATACTCTTGGGTCGCTGATGAGGGACGATTGAGTGGTCAGGCGCACCGGTGGCAGAGGGCGACCTCTGCGTCTTCCGCGCCAGGCTTGAGCTCGGCGGCGAAGGCGGCGCCACCGAGCTGCTCCTCGCGTCGTTCCACGGCGACACGAACGGCCTCGCGTCGACGCCGGTGGTGAGCGCGCTGCGCCAGCAGGCGCGTTTATCCTCAGACGGTTCTCAGACGGTTCTCAGACCTCCTCAGACCTCCTCGAGCGAGACATTCGGTGTTGAGATCTAATGTAGCAGTTGGCCCTGTGCTGCGGTCTCAGGCCGCAAGACGCGGGTGAAGACTCTCCTGCCATCCTCCCGCAGGCGGCGGGCCTTCCCCTCCTCGTGGGCATCGACGCGAACACCTACCTGACACGCGACCCAAAGGGCGGCAAGAAGTTCGTCGGCGACCCGCGCGGTGGCAGGGAGCACGCGGCACGCGCGAGCCCTCGTGGCCGACGCCGAGCCGCGTGCGCCTCTAGGCGACTTTGTGGCCGAGTGCGCGTCGGGTGAGGCGCCGCTGGCGCACTCGTGGCAGGGGCGAGCTCACCGGAAGGGTTCGGGCAACGGCCCTCATGCCGGGGCGATCTCCGGAGTGCCGCGGACCTCTTCTCTGTAGGCCGCCCGAAGGCTGGCAGACGACCTACAACGCGCGCACCTACCTGCAGCCGCAACTCAACAAGGCGGTGCGCTACGCCGAGCGCGCCACCTCCAGCCTCGCCGACAACAACCCGAAGGACTTCCTCCTCTACTCGGAGGGCGCGTTTGAGGGCGCGGGCGCGTGCGCGCGCGACAACACGGGGCAGGGGAGCTACGTCGAAGGCCTTCCCCGCCGTCATCGCGTCGCGAGAGCCCGACCGCCGCTCACCCCCAGGAGTGCCCCGACGCTTTCTCGAGTAGGCACGAGCATTCCGACGCTCACCTTCCCCAGCGACCACTGCATCGTGTCAACCACACTGCGGTTGCGGTGAGCCATCGCCTACCCATGGCGTTTGCCATTGGGTAGCGCTTCGCTGCCCTTGCGCTTTGTCGGCCGGCCATGTCTTGCCTGACAGATTCGCGGCCAGTTTCCCTTTAACCTTCTCTCCCGCTCTCTCGTTCTGCGCTTTCTCAGCCGGTTCGCGGCTTCGGCCTCTTCGTGCTGGATCTTCGAGTGAGGCCATCAGATCTCTCTAATGTGGCTGGCCTATGTGTGAGCTGTGTGTGCGTGGGGGGTCCGTCCGCGTCTCGCCTCTCGCGTCTGCCATATCTCTCTTTCGCGTTCCAACATCATTTTAAAATTAAATTGCTGGTAGAGGCTCAGTCTCAGCCTGCACCGCCGACGGGCGTCTTCTGGTTCTGCGCGCAAACCGCACGGACAAGCTCGCGTCACCGTCAGCCTCGACCGACGCTGAGGGTGAGGCAAAGCCCCGGCTGCGAGCCCGGGCGAGCAGCCCGGTCCGGACGGAGAAACCGCGGCCCTCTCCATGCCGGGGCGTGGCGCCGAGCGCCTTGGCCAAGAGCGCGAGCGACACCTATGGTGTCAACACCGCATCATCCATCCGCAAAGACAGGGATGGGGCAACCGAGCAGGCAACGGTGCCGTGTGATGCGGCCCGGGGAAGCAAGGGATGGCGAGGTTGTCGAAAAGGCCGCTCTGTATGAGCTCCTGCGGCGTGGTTTCGAAAAAGCGCGCGAACACGCAGCCTCCCGCTTCTGGATCGTTCTCGTGCGCCAGCACTATCGGAAGTCCTGCCTCCTTCGCCTCCTTGACCTATCAGTGAGTGCACACGTGTCAGCTCTCCCGTGTCAGCTCCACCTGAGCGGCCCGGCTTCCTCTCAGTACCGCCTCGACCTGCTCCGCCAGATAATCGTCAGACCAGGTCTCTTCGCACAGGTACAGCAGCATGTGGGTCGGTCGCAGTTCGCTGGGCGGATTCCGGCTAAGCCCAGCCCGCCGCATCGATTTGAGCGATGACAGTCCCCGTGGGAGGGGCGGAGGCCGGTTCGGTGCCTCCCCCGCACTACAAACACGAAGGCCAGTGTAGGAGGTGGCGAGCTGGTTGGCCACGTCTTTTGCGCCGGGATTGGCGGGCGAGGCCCAGAGCACGACGGCTTTTGCGAATGCGAGGTTCTGGCGAGTCAACTCGCCCGGCACGGCGAGCGGGAGCGTCTTTGCCAACGCGTAGTGGGGCGTTTGCAAGAGCAGGGCCTCCGAGATCATCTTGAGCGAGACGTACTGGAACTCTACGATTCGGTGCCAGACCACCAACGGCCAGCCCACGTCAAAGATGGCCGGCTGGAGGTCTGCAGGGCTATCAGCTCGCAGCTCCTCGAGCAATCCCCCGCCCTTTCCTGGGTCTGCCTCTTGCACGAGAATGATCGGCTTCTTGAGCTGGAGCGCCGAGCGAACCTCACGCAGGCAGTTTTTCGAGCGAAAGTACCCCTTCGACAGGAAGAAGAGGATTGCTTGCGAGCGTTTGATGTATTCCTCCAGCGCCCCGATTTCCTCGAGATCATCCACATCCAAGAACACTTGGACGCCGGGGAGCAGCAACATGAGATTTTTCTTGATGACGGCGACGGCATCCTGCCCCGTGCTCCAAATGTGGCTGTTGAATAGATGCCACGTCAGGCCTTTGGCGAGGGTCAGCTCGGGGGGATGATTGGTCGAGACTAGCCGAATCGTCGGGATCTGGGCGACGCGGCGAGCCGCAGTGATGGCGCCCGTGAGAAAGAGGGCGAACGCAAGGCCGATGAGAATCGACATCGGGACGACGATCGCGTCGGAGTTAGGCCAGCCCATGATGTCGTCCGCCTTTCCAGGCGCTTCCTCGTCGATGGCGTCGAAGAGGGTGATCCAGCTCGCACCCAGGAAGACGAGAAGGAGCACGAGGTTTGTCGCTACGGCCAGGACGTCGTCTTCAATCCGCTTGTATGGCTTCGCGACTGCGAGTCCGACAGCATAGCATGAGCATACCAGCGTTGCCACCACAAGACGCAAAAAGGCGTTCTTCTCCGGGATGAGCGCGACCACGCCGGTGAGGACAATCTTGCGCAGCAACTCGAGCGCCTCCCAATAGTACCAACGGATCTCGTACTCCCTATGTAGAAAGGCGGTGGCTCGCGACAGCGCGCTTGGAGTTTTCCGGTGGAGCGGCTTGTAGATGAGGACGAGGAGCGAC